GAAGGCAGGACATATTTCTCGATCGAAATTTGCGTGCATCGCTTCGGAACACGAGCAGCTAAGCACGGACAAGGTTGCCCAGCGAAATCGCAACGTCGTAACGTGTGGTAGACTATGCGAGGAAACGTCGTCAGCCTTGAGCAGACGATTCTTTTCTTCTCGGAGAAGGTGACAGATGCTGGTGTCGGACGGAAAGGAAAGTCATCGACGGCGGGCGAGGTCTGCTCGGTCTATCCGTTCGGCGTTCGAATCTTTTCTACGTCATTGGCGAGGTCCAATTTCCCAAACCTAATCCCGCGAAGTGGGTTTCCACCTTCGAGGGCCGCGGGCTCTCCGCCGCAAGGGCTCCGTTGTTATTGTTATTGAAATCTGTAAATAGGGTGGTTTCGGGGTCTGGCCCGTGTACATACCTACATATATGTATATAGACACGTGTATGTACGTACATCGGCCGTATACCTGGTCCGTGGGAGAACGGCGCGAATATATCGTGTACAACATCCGGTACCAGGGGGAATGGTTGTCCCAGGGCCTTGGGTAAAGGGTACAAGGCGGTGGAAGGGACGGATTTGGTGATGTAGCAGCCTGAGATGTAGCCGCAAGCTATGCATGGAATGCTCCCGCTCCAGTCGGTAGATTGGGGTGCGAAAAGGGGTGATCACGGACAGTGCCATCTTAATTAATTTCCTCTCAATCCCGAGTCCTCGTCGTCGAAGGATCCTTGCACGCCGTGGAACAGAGCCAGGCCCTCGCCGATCGTTGCCCCTCGGGCGTACACTGGTAATTAGCGTACTAACACCCCCCCCTGGCCTCCGCTCCAACTCCGCGAATTTTTCTTCTCGCTATTTCATCGTTTCGCGCGTCACTAATGCACCGTCCGATTAAATTCGAGCTTCTGCGATTTCCTTAACGCGCGTCTGCGGTGGATGCGGGTTTGCGGCCGGAAGGGAGCAAAAGGGAACGTTCGATTGTCGGACCGACCAAGTCTAATGCAGATTAAGTGAGTGCTCCAGACAATGCCGCCAGAGAACGCTGTTGCGTCCCCTGAATCGCCCCGGCTATATCTGTTTGTCGATGAACGGCCCTTTGACGTTCCTCAAGACGGTCGGAAATTATTCACCATCGGAATAATACACGTTCGAAGCTCCAAGAACTTAGCCCTTTAGCTACTGGATCCTTCCGAGCCGTCCTCCCTTTGGCGGAGTAGAAAGTTTCTGTCTTAATGAATTTAGAGATTTTGGAGTTCTTCAGCTGGTCTCAGGTTTTTACTTGTTTACGCGTGGATGACACTAATTTTTTACTAAGTTGTGAAATTCATTTCTATTGCACGTTGAGCACATTGAATGATTCCAGGATTTTTAGAACACGAAACGGTTAAATTAACATTTCCTGTTGTAAATTTTACCTTTCTAGTTTCGATTCCACTAATTGAATGACATTCATATCGTGGGAATTTTTCGAGTTCATATTCGGTACCAAGCTTGGTAATATTGATCTGCTATTTGAGCGTCATAGTGTCATGCAATTGTAATACACTTTCTCCCGTTCATCAAATAAATGTTATTACTATTATTATTTATTTGATCTGCTAGTAAATAAAAAGCATGCAAAGCAAGTATCGTCGCGAACGAGCGAGACAGAGCTTACGACGTCGCGAAGCAGAACTTGCGACCTCGCGAGATTTGACGTGGAAGTCTCGACGTTCGAGGACCAAATAGAGCGAGAAAGTCGATGTAGATGGTGAATCGGCCGACGAGAGAGGATTTCGGTAGCGAAAAAATAGTTGGCGTTAAATTCCCCATCGAAATAAGTAAAGGGATCGAGCAGGTGGTACGGTCTCTAATAAGATACGTTTCTAAACGGCCACCTTGTACAAATCCGATTGGATTGAAACGGTCGGAACGGGCGACTAGTCAGCCAATTGTCCCTCTGGAGTGGAACTGCTGATAGCCAGTCTCCGTTTCGACGAGTACAGGCCAGACGGCCGTCGAGCCGTGTTATATTTTCTCCTCTCCGAGTCCGGCTGACCCTGACAATAAGAATTAATCGACGTCCCGGCGCTTCCGTTCGCCGCGATTCCTTTCTCTATTCCCAAGGCTGGTCGACATTGTCCGCGGCCCTTCATTCCGGCAAATAATTCCGTCGGCGGTGCGTCTCGTAAAATCCGCGCGAGACGCGAGAAAAGTAACGTCGCGCGGCGGCGGTTTCTTTTCCTAAAAAGTGGACCGGAACGCAGTTGTCCGAAAAGACAATCGAGAGGTCAGTCAGTGTAAGTCCACTGGGTTCCTCTCAAACAATTTTTACGATCGATTGTGCTGTTTATTATTGTCTACAATCGATCATATTCTATGTTACCGTTTTGTGCAAGATATTTGTCAAACTTTTTAAAAAGGAGAATGAACGCAAGCGTCGTAATTAATCTCAAAAGATCGTTTAAAATTACGATCGTCGTATGGATTTTTATACAATCGTAGTCAGATATCGGGAAACGATTAATGTTCGCGAAAAATCTATTAATATCAATACTTGCTCCGTTGGTCTCCGATTTACCATTCTATACGACACGTTCGAACGCAACAGCCGAGAAACGTAAAAATACCGATTTTCATGAATATCGTATAAATTCTATGAATCGCGGCCAACTTTTTGGTAGAAGGTGCCAGTGTGAACCGTTACTTGCCGATTCCCCGATCACCGTGATCGCAGCCGCGACGACGTGTCGTTCGTTTCTCCTCCGCACAAAATTTTACAGCTGCGCCCGGTAAATTTTTATCGGGCCGATAAACGTGTATGCGCGTCGGCCGATCCTAAACCCGGCACGGTATATAGGTTAACAACGGGTGGGTTGCTTTAAGGGGATTTAATGAGTTCTACGGAACCGTAAAACAGTGTCGAGATTGATACGCTAGGCGTCTCAGTAGAGTTGCCTCGTAAGGGTCGGACGGGTGTACGACGGGCGAACGCGAGCTTGGAACTTGTTGACAGATCGCAGTAGAATGTCCCTGTTCCAGTCAGACGGATGCGGAATATCGGAACCGCCGAATAAGGTATCCATCGATCCCGTGGAATAGCCGTGCAGGCTGCGAACTGTCTGCACAGTGTTGCCTTCCAGCGGAAAGGGTTAATTCTCCCGAGTAGAATACGTCTTTACGGGTCGGACGATCATGCAGCGTAACGCACCGTAAATCTGTGGATTTTCGTCGAATAACCGTGGCATAGCGACGACCAAAAGCAACTTCTAACTAATTGAACACGGTGTTAGCAGTGGATGCTTGTTATAGTCAGACATGGAGAAGCTTTTGGCGAAATCAGAAGCGGGGAATCGCTGCGCCGGTTGGCTATGTTAATTTTAATGACTGCGATGCTCTGCAAAGTTTATTATCTTCATTTAGCAAGCGATATCCTGCAATTTTAATGATCATACTTCAGCGTTACATTAACGAGCAGTTCGAAAATTTATGAGGCGAGCGTTACAGGATATTGTTGAGTCCAGAGACATCCGGATTACCGGGCGCGCCGGTATTTTCCTAAATTTTCGAGATAGAGGCTATTGAGTTAACTATCCTCGCCCACGGGATCAAGCAACGGCACGTTAGGAAGTTATAAGTCTTTAAACTTTAATTTTACGTTGAACTCTCCGGTGGAAAGTTAGTTTAGTTTCGGCTTACTTATACTTCCGCGGTCAAGTCCTGAAACCTTAAGAACCTCCCCCGCCCCCTCCGCTCAAGATTTTACAATAAACTCCGAATGGTTTATATCGCCGTCCGTTGGGAAGTAGCTCGGCAGATCCGAATACATATGTATGCGTCTCGAAGATTACCCCGCTTTCCCTTATTTTCAAACCGGCGGAGACGCATCAAATAAATCCCGTCGGCTTTGATACTCCCGTCGTTCCGAGGCGAAATCATTTAACAGGATACCGTACCTTTTAAAATATTCCAAATATAACGCGAGTGAATTTGCGGATCGTCTCCTTCCGCTGCGGCAGAATTAATTACTGGAATTCCTCATTACAGAATGGGATTTTAAAAATGCAAGGAGACACGGCTACCTAGGGTCAGCCGGCTAGTAGAACATCCCAGTCATGGACAGGCACGTGGTAGAACATTCTTACATAATTAAACATTTAGGAGGGTGTTTCCATTCATTTACAGGCGTCCAGTGAAATGTACCGCCACATTCACCCAGACGCGTGGCAGTGAACTATCCCCTAATGGTCAGACAACCAATAGAACATTCCAACTTGACCAGACTTTTAGCAGGATGTTCCTGTAATGATTGGACAACTAACACGATGCCTTGCCATGAATAGAAACTTTACACAATATCTCTACAACGAATAGACGAGCAGTAGAATATTCTCATCTGATCAGACGTTCAATACATCATCCAAACCGTGATCGGTCAGCCAGTGGAACGTCTCGCCATGCTCGGAAATTTGATCAAACATTTAGAAAATGAACAGACTGCGGAGAATAGCCAGACACGACCGCACGTTCGGTAGAATACTCAGCCACGCACAGACGACCTGTAGAACGTCTTCCAATGCCAGTAGCGCTTCAATCGACAAGTAGAATATGCCATCACGGTCAGACGACCAGCAGAACATCCCGAATCTATACAGAGAAGTTTCGACTGTTCGGTAACACGACCGAACGAGTTGTACACCATGAAAAATCACGTGTTCCCGGGGTCCGACAAAAGCCGGACCCTTTCAAGTGTCGCGAAAGTAGGTCGCGCACCCTTCAATGACAGAGGAGGCGCCGCGTCGTCCGCGGCCCGACGCCGTCCGAAAGACCGTGAAACTTGCATTCCGTCGATCGTAAAAATACCTGAGGACCCATGGCGTAGGGTGACGTTCCCCCATTCTCCGCCACTGTTTCCACCCCGTGGCCGATCGCGGTTGGTGGACACGGAGGTGCGCGGGGCGGTGAACCCGCTCCGGCCCGAGTCGCGGCGACGCTAGCGCCGCGCCGGAGGCTCCAGTCCGAGCCCAGCATCACTCGTGGTGGTTTCGCGCGCGCATCCCCCGCCAAGGTGCGACTGTCGTTCGAGAAAACGCAGCGATTCCGTCCCGGCGATTGCGTCGCGTCCGCGTTTCTCGCGTCCCGACGCCTCGCGAACGTCTGGAAATCGCGCGGCCGGCGCCGCGACGCACCGAGACACACCGTGGCACACGTCGTCCGAGGTGTTTTCCCATACGGCGCGCGGATAATCGAAGTTTCGCGGAGCATGTGAAGACGATGCTCGGCTCGCGAGGAGATCGGTCGGCGAGCGCACGAGCGGATACGCGCGCATCTGCGGGTCAGTCGGCACCGAAACGCGGCGAAGCAACAACCCCTGTCACAGTTCCCGAGGGTAGAACGGTGCCCAAGGTGTTCCCGGCTCTGTAAACAGCGTTTCGGAGGCGGTGTATTCGTTTACCGGCTAGTTCGAAGGAACCGATCCCGCCCGCCTCGAACGAACTCGGTCCAGTGCCACGGAAGAGGGTAACAGTCGCGAGGAGTGTTCCCGAGGAGAGAGAGAGAAAGAGAGAGTCCCTGTGCATTTTCCCGGTGACAGTGAGTGTTCCCATGCTACTCGCAGTGCGGATTCAGGATACGTTCGAGGATCGAAGCAGGTGTGTTGTGCCCGGCGCCGGCGATCCGTAGCGGAAACTCTGCGACTCGCATCGCCGCGTAATCACGTCAGGAATGCACCGGTCTCGTAACGGGGCATCATGCTCGGCCGCTTGAAAACGCTGCCGGCCGTTCCGGGCTCCGATCGATCCGACGATCGACGATAAAGACGCGGCCGGTCGCGCGCGACCCGACACACGGAGCGGAAAACGCGGAACAGAGAACGGAGAGCTTGAAAAAACGCGGCGCTGAAATACGCGGGGCTGAAAAACGCGGGCCAGAATTAAGATCGCCGCGGGAAAGGAAAAGAAAAAAAGAGATCGCGGAAGAGGGACGGAATTAAAGTGCGCGAGTTGCTCGCCGGGCCGCGAATGATTTGTAGGTCGGATATTTGGGAAATTGCGGCCGCCAGCTGCCGGCGAGGATGTTCCGGCGAGTGATCCTGCTATCGATCCGGCATCGACGTCGTTCCTGCCCGGTGACGAACGCCCGGTCGTCCTTCGTGCTCTGAATCGGATAAAAAAACGGGCTGTGAAAGTGCGTACGGGTAAACAACAGGCGACACAGTACGCGCGAGGAAACGCGAGATCGATCGGCCATCGCGAGAGGAGTGGCCGCGGCGAGAGTTCCTCGCGAGTGATAAATAAAACGGTGCGCCGGAACCGGAGATACAGGAACGATCTCCTCGGCAAGCGGCGAGGAGAGAGAGAGAGAGCAGTTGCACGGTGGTTTTCTGTCGCGTTCCTTCGGGCCCCGCCGCCTCCTCCCCAACCTTGATTTCGCGGCATTGTCTTCACCCTCGGCCGTGGTCCAGTGTTTCTCGCGTGAAAGCCGATTCTCTTCTTTTTCGCTCCCCGCGCGCGCGAACCTACGGACAAAGAGGAAACGCGATCAGCTCGAAGGTGAGTGTGTTGCTCTTCCCCTATCCCCCGAAACCGCTTTGCGGCTTGTCTTCCTTATTCTTCAAAGGGATCGCGGCTATGTCGCGGCACGTTGTCCAATCGTTTCACGGTTTACGCGTATCGATCTTGATCGCGGGGCGCCTGCTTCCTGCGACGCGATATCCTGCGGAGCCCCGTCTTGCCGGGACTTATCCTGCGTGAACGCAAACATCCTGATGTTTTCAGAGCTCTTTGGGATCGGCAACGTGTGTTTTTAAAAGCGGCTTAGGACCTTGTTACGAGACCATTGTGGTTCCTGCGATTAAAGGCGACGGAGAGACATTCATGGGGACGTTCATGGTTCCGGCACATTCTAACCGTTTCGCATTTCCGCGGTTACGTAAATCGTATGATCGACTCTGTCGGAAGTAACTTCGGTTGGATTTAAGAAATCCATCGAATCTCTGTGGAAGGGTCTTTTGTAACTTCAGTAACCTTCGAACAGAGGTATGTGAAACCGAATGTGAGTCATTTTGGGCGGCTCGATAGGTTTACTGTTTAAAAAAAGTGCACCCAAGCAATTACGGAAGTCTCTGCTAACAATCGATGGTCCGAGATACGAGTCCGGTTCTAATAGAGAGCAGCATCGATAGCATGGGCGAAGTTAAAACAGCATTAGGCAAGTGCAGTCATAGAAACGCGTTTAAAGGGGGCACGGGACGAGCGGCAAAGTGAATAAGTTACCTGGAAGTTTTCATGACGGAAAAACGAGGGAACTTTCACCAGGCCAAATACCATCCGGCCGGACAGGTCTCCGTATAAATCTCCCTCGGCCTTCTTCCTCGATAAACTTCACCGATGCCCGCGATAGGTCTTTTCCACGGCGGCGTTATTAGTTTCCCCGGATAATGCCTTCGCGAAATTTATTCGCAACGTGGACCGTCGTCGAATTCGGGAGAGAGAGAGAGAGAGAGAGAGAGAGAGAGAGAGAGAGAGGACAGGCCGGGCTGGCCCTGATACTTTAATTACTTTTCCTCGCATGCACCCTCGCGATTTACAAGTTCTAATCCCCGTCCGGGGGAGAGAAATTGCGAGGAAATCGGAGCATTAACTAGCCCGTGACGCACGCCCTCGCGGAACCATTGGCTCAGGATTAATTCGGCGAAATGTATCAAATTAACGGGAAAGCGTTCGTTTCGCGGCACGCGAGCCGACGTTTCGCGAAACCGGCCGACACTGTTCGCCGATTCTTCAAATATCTCGCGAATATTTGTCGCCTGCTCGGAGGCCGCAGTCGCTCAGACGACACGCGCCAGATTTATCGAAGCGTTCTCCGGTTTCCCGTAACGCAAATACGTCGGTCCGCCTCCGTCGCGACCGACGAAACCCCTCCTTCGCAACGTTTTACGAACACGCGTCGACGAACGGAATCAGTCGGCTAATCAGCGAGTAATTTGCCGTGTGCCGATTCCAAAATATTTGCGTTTAATTCGCCGCGCGTTTGAAGCGAATCTGTCAGGGACGAGGCTCGAATATTAACTTTGTTCGCCATGAAAACGTATATTCGGTTTTGATTTTGCCGTCGTCGCGCGACGCGACGCGACCCGACGCGATGCGGCGCGGCAGCCGCCGGCTCTCTCTCTCTCGATTTTTGCCCCTTTGTGCCGAAACTGGTAATACGACCACGGGGAGCGACGCGGATTCCATTAAAAATATTCATGAACTTCCTCATAAAGAGTTTATTAGCACCGCGAAATGAAGTCTGTTCCACCCGAGCAAAGAAACGCGTTATCGTCGCTCCCGTTCCCCGTTCTTCGCAATCTTTATTCCGATCTTGCAAAAAAATGTTCAAACAATTCATCGACCCGGGCAATTTTCCTGCCAGAGGTCTGAAACAGCTCCGTACACGGTGATGGCGCACAAACAAGTGTGTGCTCGATTAGCTCGAAGGGCGATTCAACATTCCGCGGACCCGAATAATTATTCGTTCCATCGATTTCTCGTCACGTCAGCCCCAAGGAATACGTTCCGGAATAATCGTCGCCCAGCGAACGATATTCCTACCAATTTATTCGACATCGGCTAATAGAGGCGCAAGGTCTCGCTCGCGTGATGTATCGCGATTTTTCGAATACCGGGCTCTAATCGCCCCACTAAACGAGGAGGAAATTCCCCGGTAGCGTAATCGGCTCGTTCAAAATTATCCGCGTTGCCTCGTTCAGCGAGCATCGTTCCCGTTCGTGCTGTTCCGTTTAGCTTGAAATCACGGGCTTCATCTGAGTTCGATTCGACTCCGCAGAAAATGAGAAAAAATTACATACCTTCGGGAAAAATTTGAATCGGGAGCATTCATCGGTTTGAGAACTATGATAGCGGAGTCGATTACTGTGCGTGCCTTTGGTTTGTTTGCGGACTTAATTAACTTTGTATTTATCGAATAGGAGATGCTACATTTTTTATTTTTCTATTTTATCCATTTTTTAATAGAAAAATTTCATATGTCTTATTCGATGAATACAATAGTTTCTCTCTAATTTATGCTCTGGTTGCGCACAAAAATGGATAGTTTGAGAAAAGGAGATACAATTATTTGTATCGTTTTCGGCTCGTTTTTATAGTTACCGATTGTCAACAATTATAAAATCGAGTCGCAAGGCTCGGATAATCGTATCTCCTCTTCTCAAATTGTCTATTTCTGTGCGCAATCTGAGCGCGAATTAGGGAGAAATTACGGTATACAGATAATTACGTCCGAGAATAAAATAGAGACACAGTATATTCATTCTTCCTCCATTTCTTCAACAGTACCGTTATTTGATACACATTCCTCTCTCTCATTTCTCAAACAGTACAGAGTGATTTTTCTAACACATTCTAGATCCAAATATATAACGTTATCTCTTTTTTTAATTCCTGGTCTAACTCGTATTAGTAGAATTAATTAATAGCTATCGCCGTTGCTATTTTTATTTTCTTCTGGTTTAGGGTATTCTCTATGCGGTCTTTTCATGTCAGAGCTGACACTTCCTTCATTCCGTATTCGATCCTCCGAACATTGCATCTTTCGCATTCGTACAGTAAGTGTTTAATCGTGGTTTCTTTCTCATTGCAGAGAGTGCAGTGAGAGACTTCTGACCTTTATTATATTCACGTGTCACTTTAGTCTGTCCTGTTCGAAGTCGTTCTGTTATAGTCAAGCATTACTTTCATTATAAAATCACTTACTCGTCGTCATCGAAACTCAATCACTGGATATAACTCGGATAACCTGGATAATCTTAATTAATCACACCCGAAATGACAGATACTCGCATGACTCGATACCTTTACTATTTTTCTCACGCACGTACAGTTTCGTCACACCGATCCTTTCGTTGCACGCACGCACAATAGATCCGTCCGCTTGGATCCGCATTTTTTGTCGCGAGACACATGGAATCGCGCGTCGCGAGTATCGGGCGGTGAATCCGAGCGGAAACGGGCCCACGCGACGGAATCGCGAGCATAATGGTCGAATCTTGGGCGAAACTGCAATGATTGATGGCAGAACGGGTGTCGGGCGGGGTTCCGGGGGAGGGGGGGAGGCGGTGGGGTTCCAGACCGAAGGAAACAGCTATTGGAACAAAAGCCCGAGAGGAAGTAGTTATGCTTGTGTACAGAGTAGGTCGACACCTAGGATCCTCGAACGCAGTTAACTCGGATGCTTCCGATAATAGTGATCGTCCCCCGGAGTCATCAACCGGCACTGCTCCGGTTAATGAGTTTCCCAGCCTTTTCCGCTGACAGACATTTGTCATCGTTCGAACCTGGACGAAGCAATTTCTGCCAGCGATCGGAGAGCGGGGGTCTGCTCGCGGGAATCGTATCGATAAATAAGTGGGCGGAGATCGACGACCCCCGGAGGTCCCCGGGGAAATTATTAATAAACAATCCTTTCGCGGGGAATAGACGCGACAAGCATTCCGATAGATTGTCGCGGGAGTGACTCGCGTTCGCATAATCGCGACGGCGGGTGGCGGCTTTCTCTTTCAGTGGCTCGTCCGACGGTGCTTCGAGCGTCGTTCGAAAAGTGCGGAGCTTGATGAATTTGTAATGTAAATCCCCGCGGGCTTCTCGCGATAAAAATTCTCGTTTAACGTGTTCCCTTCGAGCGCGCGCGCACGAGCGACATCCGCGACGTAACCTCTAATACATTGTGACCGACCGTCGAACAATTGACAATTGCTCGCGTTATTCAGATTTCCGCGGGCGGAAAATAAAACACGCGTCGCTTCCAGCAGGCGCACGTTGAACCGAGATTTAAACAAATTTCAGACCCCGTTCGCACTTATCGCGGGACCCGGCCGCACGGCCGGACACTCTTCGATCGTGAATGTTTTATTACAACGATGTTGACGGAACGTTTTACGGCTGGTAACGGAGCCAGGAAGCTGTTGATTGCTTGCCCGAAAAATAAATAACAGCCTCGGAGCGCGAAGTATGTACATTCGCGTGAGGCTGCAAGCCTGAACGAACCTCGACGCGTCTGACCAGCGCTCGGCGTTTCCACTTGCAACGAGCATTGATGAATCTAGCGGGTGTAATCTAATTATCCGCGGGCCAAACAAACCGGAACGCGCCGGCTGTCCCCAAAAAGTTGCCAATCGAGGCAAATTCCCGTGAACCCCGGCTGGTTTCGCAATAACATTCCATCGCCGGCGCTTTAAACGCGAATTCGCACGCGCGCGCCGAAGCTGCAGGAGCCGTCGGATCGCCAGAAATTTGTTGGAGATTACATTCTCGAAGGTATTCGAACGTTTTCAAAATATTTTAAGACTCTCCCGGACGAACAGACCGAATGCCTATAGGTGGAGAGAGCTCGCGACGATCGGACGCTTCATCAAAATTTAATTATTTTCGTTGCTTTTCTTCAATATTTCACGACGGCGCTCGTCGAAAATTCATTATTTCTGCATCTGTTTTTAAATGTTTCACGACGGATAATTGTCGGAAATAAATATTCATTCGAAACAATTCGAATA